GTCCTTAGCAGTTGAATTTAACATATTTTATTCTACAAACTTCTTTAATAATTTTATTAGCAAATTCTCTACCATTGTTACTTTGCAAGATGAATATTCTCCAAATATTGTGAACGCGTCCAGTGGATACTTCACAACTTCCTTGTCCATTTTACTTTTAGCGTTCTTAATAGAACAAGTTTTATTAAATGATCTTGATAAACCATTATAAAGTTTTAGTCTGCTTGTGATTGTATATCAGTGAGATGAACTTGGTGCCTTGAATTTAATTCACTGTTGTTAATTGGTTTAACAACATAAAATCTTTTCTTGGAATGTTTAGTTATTTTGACAAGGTTCACTTTAACTATTTGATTATAATTCCAACTGTAGTGTTCTTACACTTTGTCTTAAATGTTTTCATCATTCTGTTTCACATACCATAGCTGATTGTGATATGAATCTGATGAATTATTTGAAAATGCTCCTCCAGAATAAGTGTAATAGATAATCAACTTTTTGTTTTCAACTGGAACAATGAGTTTTTTAACACTATCAATTCTTACTATATCATTAATAGTCATTGATAATCTTCTGGTGATTTGCCGGAAGTCTTCTCTCTGCTTTCCTTGTCCCTTCTACTTTTACAAAAAATTGCTCGGTTAATCTTTGGATTATGGTAACTTGGCGATTTTTTGGCGAAATTTGATGACCAACCCTTCTACAGCAACCTGCTAGTTTTTGTTTGGATGCCATTTTGTTTTCACAAAGTAAAGGCAATTTTTTTTTTTTTTTTTTTTTTTTTTTTTTTTATCAACATTTTTTTTCCAACAATCTGCTAGCCGAATACGCATATGCTAGAACTTTTATGTAAAAAAGTGCTAATCATGACGAAGATTAGGTGCGAAATTGGAAGAATGTGCAGAATCGCCCACTGCTTGCCGCGTTTTTAAGAATTGCACATACACTGTATCATCCATGTACACGTCGACCTATTTTCACTTAAAAAAAATCCCAGAATGGCACTGCGCACACTCTTGACTTTATCCATGTACACTGCTAAAGTCCTAGCTAGTAACCTTTATCGCCTTACCGAAATGTCACCAAAATAACTGTTACCATATTCCAAAGATTAGCCAATTGCTCTTATAAATAACTTATGGTTTTTTATTTGAGTATGTCTAAATGATCATCAAAGCACGACTTCTTGATTTCTAAATTGTCATCCATTATGCTTATAAATGCAGTAAAATTTGTGAGAATTTCAAACACGTTACATGCATGCTGGCAACTGACAACAAAAGTAACGTCAAATGGACAGTATACAGAACATAGAACAATTGAAACTTTAAAATGTGAAATATGTATAAACATCTTGAAAAATATGGGCACCTTTATCTTAAAAAAAAAAATCAGCCGATTGTGTCTTAATTTCTGCCAGCAGATGACAACAAACGCACATGCTCGAAACAGCTGTCATATGTTCGCGGAATTATTAAATGCTGATTCCTGGGAAAATATATGTAACCATAACTGCAAATCTCAAACTGAGCACATTGAAATTTATTTCATTTTCTGCTCATTGACAGAAATTATTGACAACCAGCTCATGTGCTATATTCTCATAAATTATTCACTTCAATTGATTTATTTATACATTATTAATAAAAAGCACACACACACATATATATATATATGTGCAAAAACATTATTTAGATCAAATTGGTCTTACAGTATTGTACTAACTACCTTGCTTGTTAATTTTATATATACATATGTGTGTATGTGTTCAGAGTTTTTCAGTTAACAAGGTGCCAAATGTGGTGAGGGAGTAGCAAAAAATTATGGAACGAGACAAAATCAATGTCAGTGTAGTACTGCTCGGCATCTAGATTTCTGCTTAACCTGTTAACGGCCTCACTCTTTCACTTGAAAGAAACAAACAAATTTTTTTTTTTTTTTTTTAAATACGTACTGTTGCGAAAACGCCTCGTCAGTCAAAGTCAATTAATTTTGGGGAATCCTTTCTCATTTCACTTGAGGCCAAATTCTGAAAGAAAGCTTGTCGGCCAACACAATCAGTATATGAAAATGAAGGCTGCAAATTTTCAGAATATTCTTCTCTGTTTTCAGAAATCCCAGTGCAACACTTATTTAAGAATTTAACAGAGAAATTTTGGAGTCTGTGGCAATTTTAACAAAGTTTCCCTACACGTGATTTAGCAACATAAATAAAATTCACCTGACACCATTTCTAACTTTTTACTTGCACTCTATATACATTGAAAAAAATTGTCCAGAAAATCTACAGCATCCATATATTTGTTGTAATTTCCGGTACACTTAGGTTACCTTACAGATACAAATTTGTTTTTGTCTTGATTACCTCTTAGTCATGGAAGGTGGATAAATTATATCAAAGTTGGTTGACGTAAGTAGGATGGACTTGTCATTTCAGTGAATTATTGCAATGCCTTGCTGTTTGACAAATGCAGTGTCATATGTTCCACGTTCTTTTTCTATTTTGTTTACTGGTGTAATACGACCATTTCCTAATGTGTACTCAAATCCTCCTGCCGCATGAAATTTCAGCTCATTCATTTTCAACAACACTATGTGTGATGTAAAAAAATTTCTCAAAATATATGTAATGATTTGAAGAAACTTCTGCTGCGCTTGTTGCAATATTTCCATCTTGTCCAAAATAAGTCGATGTCGTTGAAAATTTTCCGAAATATACATCAAAATAATATAAGCACTCTTTATACGAACACAAAACACCAAACGTAGTACTCGAAACGAGTGGGTTTTTCCTTTGAGAAACATTTCACATGAATGTCTACAAAAAAAAAAAAAGGTATCCTCGGCTCATTTATAGAAAAATGTGTTGAAAAGAACCTTGTATGACATATTAGCATTTATAATAATATAATAGAGATGAACCTTGGCCAGTTTTTTAATTTTATCCGATTCTTCATAAATCATAATGCTTCATTCAATGTTAAAAACCATTTTTTGAAATAATCATTATTTTTGAACAGTTGTTTTGTGGAATCTGTAATAAAAGTAGCACTGTCTATGAAAAATCTATGTGTACTAACAAAGATATAACACTTTAAAAAATGCATATTTGTACTAACAAAAATAAAATAATAATAATCATACTTTTTTATGCCATTGTTCAGTCTGATGTTTGCAGAAGATTGCTGTGTCTTCATAAAATTATTTGATCGATTGTGTGGTACTGTTTTTTTTTTTTTTTTTCAAGTTTTTTCTTTAATTCGAAGATATACTCAAATTAAAGAAAACTTTGCAAAAACATCCGAAACAATAACTTATTTTTTAAAAAATTTTAATGTGAGAGAAACAGCTTTTTTTTTTTGCCCTGGAACAATGAAGTTTTATCAAAGAAATATACAGAAGGCAAAAAAAAAAAAAAAAAAAAAAAAAGAAAGGGTTGTGAAAATGAACATAAGTTGTTAATGCCGCCACGTAATCACTATTGTATTTATATGACAGCTAGGCACACTATCCAGAAAATTCATACTATGGTTCACTAATAAATAAAATCACAAATCCCTCTTTCTACACCTCCGAATACCCACTGCCCCTCAATAGGATGGCCACGGTGATGTTTCCTTTTGCCGAAATTCAGTTCAACAATTTTCACCATTTTATCTTTCCCCCTATCTTCACGAACCGATGAGCTCCAGCAAAAGATTTTTCAACGTCAACAGGGTTGCCATACTCGGGACCGGATTCAAATATCACCAAAAGTTGATGATCTAGTGAAAAATTTGAAGCATAACAATAATTGCCAAAATATTATGATACAGTTTAGTTGAAGAAAAATCCAAGGGAAAAAAAATAGCGTGACAGATATTTGTACAATTAGAAATTTTTAATGTAAATTAAGCAACTTACCAAAGAAATTAGAAAAAAATAAAATATCAGTTAGAGAATTTATGGAATTAAGATTAATGCAGAGGCATGAGACTGCGGATATCATTTAAAATATCTGAAAAGATTTGTATTGTAGGATTCTGCTTCTGCCATATTAACTCAAATAAGAATCTAATTGTTACGTTCACTGTTTCACACTGTCCTATAACTTTTCAGAAGTTAGAGTATGATAACTAGTATCAGAATCAATAAAATTATACTTATGGTTAACGTAGAAATGTTCAAATCTGGATCTTTGCATCTCCATTCTGGTACTTCTTTTGAATTGAAGTAGAACTTCATTTTATGGTTTCTCATGCACTTTCTTCCAATGTAAATGATTCCTCATTCCTGAAGAAATTGTATGGAAGATGTTTCACCATTAGGTAAGGTCCAAATTTTCAATTGCATGGTAAGTGCAAGAATAATAAAAACAAAAATGACCATTGCATCTTTAAAATGTGTATTCTCATTGCCAATTTTGAAATGCATTCTTTTACTTTTTTAAAATGTAACAGTGTAACAATTTTAAAAGTAAACATTGGCGACTTCCCACAAAATGGATTATAAATTAATCAGTAATTAATTTCATGAAGCTGTATATATATTATTGTCATTCTTATTTTATGCCAATATTCTCATTGTGTATAATATCCCCGCTTATGTAATACACATTTGCAGTTACATAAGTACACAAAATTAATTTGCAATTACATAAGTATGCAGAAGCCATAACATTCTTGCTGAAATCCATGAATTGGACCATTAGAAAAAAATGTAGTTCTTCCTTTTCCTGACCTGTATTTCTGGCATTCTAACAATATTCACGAGATTGACTTACAAAATAATACTGTAAATAATATATACAGAAAGAGATAATATTAAATATTGCTGTACTTACAAAGTTACATTTAAGCAATTTATGTGTTTGACTTGCATACTTACATGAAAGTTCACAAAATGCATTACTTATGTAATCAGGGAGTTATTGCAGTGTGTAATATTTAAAATACATTTGTGTATTTCTGAAATATGCCAGCATTGTCAGTAAATATTAATGTTTATTTTTATTTATATAGGATTCTTCACTTAGCAATTGTAGAGGCTTCACTTAGCAACTGTAGAAATATAATATTTCCTCTTATTCGGTTAGCTCCTCATCCAGATTTTTTGGATATAAGTAATGATCTTTATCAAGTAAGTATAATATTTTTTAATGTTTTCTCTTTTTGCAGAGTTATTTACAGAGTAATTAAAGAGTAACTCGGCTTTCTCATTTTCAGTTTAAAAGTTTCCTTTTTAGCTGTTAAGTAGTAGATTAATGCCATTTTATGTCCTGAATTTTATCATGATTAGGGTATAGAGTCTTACCTAGGGTAGAAAATTCACAAATTTTCATGAATTTTTTTGGAGTTTCTCAGCTTTTATGAATATCAAATTCTTTTGCAAACTTCAAATAAATTCATGGCATTTAAATTTTTTTGTACTATTTTCTAATTGTTTTTATATTTGTTAGATTCTTTTCATGTTTAAATAATTTTATTTTCATGAGTTAAACATAAAAATATACTGTAAAGTAATTTTAAACTGAAATCCAAACTTAAACGTAGAATTACCATTCAAGACTTCCAATTAGTTTTCAAGTCCAATCACAATTTTCTGGAATTTAAAAATCATAATTTTTTAGACAATATCAATTGCCACCCATCATCATCTTATGTTAAGAATAATATTCAGTGAGATTATGATTTTAAAAAAAGTACACTGAAAACTAAGATCCCAAGCAGTTTGATTCCTGAATGAGTTATCTGAATGTAAAATACCTCAAATGATGACGACACCAGTACAGTCAAAAGTCGTTAATTCGGACACCCATAATCCGGACCTGA